AGCATATTGTGACGTATTCGTTCTGATTTTGGATAGATTCGACGCGCGTGGAGGCCAATTCGACCCGTGGCCCGTGGTGGCCCGTAACCCACATAGGGCTGGGGTGGGGTGAATATTATAAGGCTCATCAAAATCGTGGGCTAGCCTAGCCCAGCTCGTCAATTGCTGAAGCCCATGTGGGCTAGCCCAGCCCCACCCATATTGACAGCTCTAGGCAGATATTTATTTGAAGGCATTTGTAAAGTTGTTTATGAGCCTATGCTGCTTTGAGATTTTCAAGCACAAATATATCTTTTGAGAAACTTCTTGTTCACTTGTTTTAATGGGATTTTGTAGTAGCACTTCCTTAATATGCTAGTATGAGCGTGTAAATGTCACGTAAATAGTTTTCTAACTATTGATGAACTTCATATGTGGTTGTTTATTTACATTTGTTTCATTTTATCATTTCAGACCATATATTATGATGTTCAAAATCTTCGCTCATAGCAAATTTCATTATGATCAAGAATTGGAGGATCTTTCTTATATCGCTTATTGTATATAGCTACTTGATAAATAATTTACTAGATGTTAAATGACACTAGTTATTAGATTCAAATAGGTTAGTATTTTTGTAATGCTGTTGACACTTCCAATTTATGGATTTGTAGTTCTGATTTGTGAATTAATTAAGTGCATTAAGATTTTTGAAGAGATTGCCATCAATAATTAAGTGGGAAAACTATTTCTTAATAGTTAGCGGCAACAAGAAAAATTGTTAAACGGTCATTGTTATAGCAATTATATGAAATATATGAATTATATGAACTTTTATCGACAGTAATAAAAGCTATTAAATCTCTCTCTCTATATATATATATTGAGGAAATAGTAGAGCTGATGTGTCACCTTTCAAAGATGAGGATTGGTATTTACTTTTTTCCTATTTTTTCTCATTTATGTTCTCTATTATGATAAAACAAAAAACTCAAAAGTCGAATCCTTTTATTTTACCTGGAAAAGTCGCATCCTTTACTTCTCTTATCTTTTTTCTTTTGTTTTTGTAACTGACATTGCTGGTAACGCCTTTGCTATTCAAGTCGATCTCTCATGCCTTTCCGGGCTTCGCCATTCTATATAGCGTTGCTTCAGTCTGTTCCTCAATTGTAAATAAATTACCACGAAGAAGAATTGATTCACATTTTTCATTCGTCCGAGATTTAAACCGCATATGGCGAATCATTTACCGCAGGATAATGCAGATGATTTGGTTATCAAATTTTAAAGGCTTATTGTGGTGATTTCAGATTGAGTACGTTGCTAAATCTCCAAATTCTAATAGAGTGTTTTCCAAAATTTGGTGCTTTTCTACTTCCTTTGCTTTATATGTTACCTTTGGCTATCTTTCTGTTTTTCACTTCTTATGTTTGTTCTGAGCTTCAACTTTCTATTTTGTCTTTGGCTCTTTGATAGAAATTAGTCAATGCATGTAAAAGTCAACAACTTATTTCAATTGGGTTCGAAAAGACGGTGTTGTGGAAGATTCAATCTTAATTTCTCTGTCTAATATTTGACAGGATATGCCCGGGTGAGTATTTAATTATAAAATATGGATGTCAATCATATCAATAGTTGATTAATTTCCTGTAATATGTTTTGAGTTTATTTTGGTAGTAGTAGGAACGATCTAGGACTAAGGAGGAGGAAATCAAGAAAATTGTTTAGTTTGATGCAGTAAATTGGTTCGACATTAGGTTATATTCTTTCTTTTTTTCCTTTTGTGCAATTCTTTTTTTTTTTTTTAATTTTAACTAGAATGTCGAGTTCATTTCTGTAGTTTGTATCTTTCTTAGGTGTGCTAAATCATTATTATGCATAGTCATTTGAGGTTTGCTTGGAACTGTGAATATGAAATTTGCACATGAGAAGTTTGATGGTGTAGGAGGATATAGTTTACAAAAAAAAATTGAAAATTGAAGAGATAAAAAGAGGATGATATTCAAAAAAGTTACAGAAGGCATGAGAAAGGCCTTCTCTTTGACATGCAAATAAGTTATGAGTTTTATATGGAAAAAAAGGTATCAGGGGCTCTTTACGTTGATCAGGCTTCAAATGTCAGATCTTTAATAAGCATAAATAGACATCTTGATCTTTCATACTTTAGATGCAGCATTTCAAAGACAAGATTATATTCGCTGTAGTATACGCATAAATAATCTTTTGCCCATGGAATTTATTAACGTTGGTGGGTCTAAATGCTATTCGTAATCATAATATTTGATGTTTCGCTTCTTGCTAAAATAATAACTTTTGCATTATTGCATCTAAGTTCTGGTTTTAACGTATTTTAAGTGTGCACTTTTTAGCAATGAGGAGTAGTACCTTTTAATAGATGAAGTAAGTTGCGAGCAGCTAGGAATGCAGGGATATGGATTGAACACCATATATCCAACTGGATGCATTAAGGATTCCATACTTCCAGAAAAGTTGGCTTCGGACCTGAAATACATATAGCCTTCAGTTTTCTTGAAGAAATAGGTTTCATTTGCTACGCTAGGAGCATTAATCTGTACCCTTTTCAACTGATCTGTACCTTGATGAGTACAATTTATAAATTGTGTTGCTTATTAGATGAATATTATGAGCTTGTATTTTATAGTTTTCAATAATAAGGTATAATAAGGTAAGCTGCATTACTTACTGTTGGATGCCACTGCTTCATTAGTTGGTAAGATTGCAACGCCTACTAGATTGCTTGCGTTTTCAGTGCTCTTGAAGTGGTATCATAGTTTGCTTTGTCATGTTGGGAGTGCATTTGCCAAATATTTTTCTCTGCTTCCTAAACTATTCGTTTCTGTTGGAGAAGAATCTAAAATGTCTTTGGAATATATGAGACAACATATATTTTTTGGGTATGAATGTAATGCATCTACATGCATTTTGTTTAAATGTTACTAGTATTTATTGAAAGAGCACCTATATATACTACTTGTATTCATGACGGTGATTCAGATAATCAGGACCATAAGAAAGGTGGAAAAAATACAATACAATAGAAAAGAACTAGAATATCAGAAGCGGAAGAGAAAGAACTAACGCACAGAAAGCAAAGAAGAATAAGAACAGGGTGAGGAGACAAGTTACTAAAACTACAGTTTATATACACCAAGATGTGAATAAGTAAATTTTCATCATTTTACTCATAGACCTTTGGCCAAAGAAAATGTCTGCATTTGTTCGAAGTCACCGCGAGTAAAGTGACGAACTCAAGAAAACAAATAACAAAATAAAAGCAACAACTACTGTTTAGCTACATTATTATTACTGATATAAGGCAACTTTAGGATAATTTGAGAATCTAAAATATTACAAAAGGCGTGGCTTGACTGCTTGAGTCACTCGACATTCAAAAAGAAGGAAAACATGAAAGTAAAAAGAATCAGGTCCAAGAAAAACAACTCTGTTACTCCTCGAATCTTTCTTAATTAGATAAAATTTTAGTAAGCTTCATTAGTAGTTATAATTAACTAAAAATAATATTGAAGTATAAGCTTTAACTTAATCACGGTTAAGAATTAACCCAAATGTATGTTATTCATAAGTTTTTTTTAAAAAAAATCCATTATAAGCATGTTAATTTATAAATTTAAATACTTACTTTTACGACCGCGCGAAGCGCAGACAAATTAACTAGTAAATGAATTAAGTTGAATTCAAGGATAACTTTAGTGGCCATTATATTTGTTGCGGAAAGGGGTTCTTTTTACCAGTTATTAAATTGACTTTTAGCAGCAATAATAAAAGCTGCAAAAGGTAGGGCCTAAGGAATTTTTAGTGAGTTTTAGTGTCCATTATAATTGCCAGTAATATTTGTTGCTAAAACTAAAGAACTTTTACCGGCCATAACAACTTCCTTTACCAGCATTCAGATAAATGGCCACTAAAGGCTTTGCCGACGCCGGCTACAACGACTAATAACTAATTGCCGGTAAATATTTTGGCAGCCATTTTTATTTCCGCTATAATACATTTTAATTGCCACTAAAAGCTTTTTTTGTTGTAGTGAGTGTCAGCCTATCTCCTCAGCAAACAATAGCCCTTACGAGCGCGGGGTATCTAACCTTGGCCTTGTGGCACTCACACAAGGGGAGGTCGGCTAGCTCTCCCTTTAATGTGATCACATTAGTGCATAAATAAATACCGGAACTGAATACAGCACTAAATGTAAATATCACCAACAAAGGCACATAAATACGCATAAACATGTAACTCTATCACATATAAAGTCGTAGTGAATAAGAATGACGCAAACTGAATACTGGATCACAAGGAGACATGGCTTAGATTTATCAAACACATGGAGCACGTGGGCTCTAATAAAATTCCCTACTAAGAGAATACGCCTTGACTCAACTCAAGACGACAAGCTTAACTTCCACTTCACACCTCTTTCAAGCAATCCCGGACCCCAATTTCACAATCTACATGATAAACCAGTTCAACTTACACAAATACATGCCTAAAGCTTGCAACTTTATTCCCATTAATTTAGGGACATTGGTCAAATCCTCTAATTTCTGTGTTTTTCCTCAATTACGTAGGAACAAAACTTATCCACTTCATTCTTTTACAATACAATGGGTACAATCCTCCTAAACAACATTATCAACAATACAGTATAATACCCAGTCAAAGGTTTCATCTTTTTAATAATTTAAATCTTCATTATCAATTTCTCCCTGTACTACTCAACCCTAACTCCTGTTTGCAATTACAATAACCCATCTAAATAATAGAGTAGACAATTAAATAAGAAAGAAGTGAAGAAAACCAGAAGGAAGAAGGAATTTTTTTTTACCGTGCGTTTGTCAGTGGAAAGAACACAAGTAACCAAAAGGAAAAACTTTGCTGCCTTTAAGCTTCGGCCAAACGAGAACTTTAAATCCCGTACCAATTCTTAATGTTTCATTCTAATGCCTTTTCTTTAAGATTCCAATCCATATATATCACGTGACCATACTTAGTCCACGTGACTATTCCAATTCTCTTTTTGTCAAATTTTTATTCTCTTATCTCTTTTTTTTTTTTTTTTGGTCTTTATCAATTTATCATTTCACACCACTACCAATTTATAAAATATACACAGTAACATGTTTCAATTACTTTATTTAATTTTTTTTTTAATATTAGTCTTTGGGTACGCGCCTTGGCCATATATAGATACCATTTGCTATATTACGGATTATAGATACATTTTCTGTGGTTATAAGATATATTTGATGTATTTAAGCTATTGTATTCATGAAAACAATAGCAAAAATAGGCGTGAATCATGGAAGTCCAGCTAATCAGTTGTTGTATTCAAGTGTATTCGACTGTATTCATGGAGTGAAACATGGGATTACAGCTGGACAGATTATTGTATTCAACTGTATTCGACTGTATTCACGGCGTGAAATTGGGGATTACACTATTTTTAAAACGAAAATTGAATCAATTAACATAATAGACTTCTAATATAACTCAATAAACTCAATTATAACACACAAATTTTGTATTTTCAGTTATAAAAAAGATTCTCAACCGAAAAATATCCCAAAAACATAGCAATCTTCAGAGAAATTATATAATACATCTGAATACAAAAATTATATTAATTAAAAAATATATATGAATACATTCATGGCATATAGCGAGGCAGTGAATACAATGAAATACATAGAATACAGCAGAAAAATTGAAATACAATGAGAAAAAAATAGTGAATACAATGAAATACATGGAATACAACAAGATACATTGAATTACAATGGAAAAAAAAGACAACGAATACAATGAAATACATGAAAATACAGCGTGATACGTTGAAAAAACATTGAAATATATTAATAGAAAATCAAGTTGTTCAGCCCCAAAATCTGTCGTCTTTGTTCAAGAACAAACCCTAATTTCTAGCTACTCCTATTGCAGCAGATGCAACAATAACGTCAGAAGCAGCAACAACAACAGGAAGCCATGGCTCGTTTCCCTTCTAACATGGACCGGCGGGGTACTCCCTGACAAATTCTCCGACCAAATTTCTGATAAGGTGGGTCATTTATTTACGATCTCTTATCGCGTTGCTCTTCAAACATTCGACAGAAACAAAGTGAAAAAAGAGATGCTGGGAATTTCATATGGAGAGCTTTTTCTCTTGCTTGGCGCTACTGCTGCTCTTATTGGAGACGTAAGGATCTTCTGCAATTGTAGAGCTCTTTATGAAAAATTTGAGGTAAAAGTTGTATCAAAGTAGAGAGAGTAAGAAAATATTGTAACTGAATAGCGTATTTAGTGGCTTAGGTGTAGGAGTTAACCAAAATTAGATATTTTGTTATAAACATCAAAAGGTATCTATAGAATACACTTTTTTTAAATGGTATTTATTTAAAATAAATAATGTGTTAACCTTTGACATATGAGGTAAAAATTCCTTTAAAATATGACACAAATAATAAATATTTAATAATTTTGTGTTTACGTTATAAAACAAAAATTCATATTCCTAAAAATAATGAATGTTCATCTTATATAGCTAAGTCAATAAAAGAAGAAATTGCCTTATATATGTTCTCACTGATTAGTCGATGTATTCACAACCTAAATTTATTTTAGCTTTATAATTTCAGCACTTCAACATTGTAAGTTATCATGATTCCTAGGGTTGTTCACGATTTGACGAAAAACCGATTCAAACCGAAAATCAAACCAAACTGATTAAGTAAACCGATATTTGTTTTTGATTTGGATTGGTTATGGTTTTAAATTTTAAAAACCGATTTGATTTGGCTTTGGTTCTATTATAAAAAACCGAAAAATAAACCGAACCAAACCGATTAACTATATACAAAATTTGATAATTATTTATATACAATATAATATCTTTTTTCTAAATAATATTAAATATTTTATGCAATTTAATTGTTATTTTAAATTTTGATTTTTCCTACTTATATCTTAAAAGATTGCCTAAGCCCAGAACAAGAGGAATCGGTCAATTTTCTTTTCATTAAGAGACTTTAATTCTCTAACCCTCCGCACATACTTTTGCCTAACAAAAGAGTTAAAAAAAATCCTACCATAAGAGTAAAGAAAGCAAACTCAAATTGCAGGACTGCAGTGGCTAAAGCTTGAGAAAGCAAACTTTTAGTTTGTTTTTTTGTTCATTCTTTTCATCTAAAGAGGTAAATAAACTTTCAGTTCCGGAAGAAATATCTAAAAAGCATAAATTTAGTAAATTATTTTCAGATTATTGTATAGTGTTGTTTCACTATTATCGACTTATTATTAGCTTACTAAAAATCGAAAACCGTACCAAACCAAACCAAACCAATAACAACNAACCAAACCAAACCAATAACAACCAAATCGATGGTTTGTATTTAATTTAGTTTGGTTTTGGTTTTAAAATTTTAAAAATCAATTAAATTGGTTTGGTTTGGTTTTGATTTTAATAAAAAACTGATCAAACCGAACCGTGAACACCCCTAATGATTCCTTTTCAGTTTCAACGAGAACATATAACT